CCGCCCGTGCCCACCCTCTCCATGACGGAGAAGCTCTCCTGGAACTCCAGGATGCGCCGGCGCAGCGCCCAGGCCCGGCGCGCCGCGTCGTCCTGCGGCAGCTGCGCCAGCAGCGAGCCCAGGTCCGACAGGTCGATCCCTGGGGGGGTCACGGGGGGTCACAGAGGGCTTGGGGACCCCCAGGACCCCCCCAGGACCCCTGGAACCCCCAGGACCCCTCAGGACCCCCCAGGGCCAGCAGTAAGCCCAGGTCCGACAGGTCAATCCCTGGGGGTCTCAGGTGGGTCATGGGGGGGTCACAGGGGTCAGGGGGGTCACAGGGGGCTTGGGGACATCCTCAGACCCCCCAGGAACCCCCAGGACCCCCCCAGGACTCCCCAGGACCCCCCAGCCAGCACTCCTAGGGTCTGGGGCTCATTGCCACCCAGAATTCTTGGGGATGCCAAAAGGGATATTTGGGATCAGAGAGGGAATTTCTGGGGTTCCAGAAGGGAATTTTGGGGTCCTAGAAGTGGATTTGGGGGTGTGAGAGGGAATTTTTGGGGTTCTACAAGGGAATTTTGGGGTTCCAGCAGCTCGGCCAGCAGCGAGCCCAAGTCCAACAAGTCGATCGATCCCTGGGGGGGTCACGGGGGGCTTGGGGACACCCCAAGAACCCCCAGGACCCCCCTGGGGCCCCCCAGAACCAGCAGTGAGCCCAGCTCTGACAGGTCGATCCCTGGGGGGGTCACGGGGGGTCAGGGGGGGCTTGGGGACACCCCTGGATCCCCCCCAGGTCTGGGGGCATTCCCAGACTGGGAATTGTGGATACCAGAAGGGAGTTTTGGGATCTGGGAGGGGGAATTTTGGGGCTCTAAAAGGGGATTTTGGGGTTCCAGAGGGGCCCCCCCGTCCCACCGGCGGTGAAGGCGCTGCCGGCCCCGGAGATGACGACGGCGCGGCACGAGGGATCCTCGGAGATGTCCTGGAAACACTGCACCAGCTCCCTGCACCAGGGAAAACCAGTACAGACCAGTACAAACCAGTGTAACTCCCGCGGGGACACCGGGGGGGACATCGGTGTCACCGAGCGGGACAGGGACACCGGGACACTGGGACTGGGCTGGGGGCACTGGGGGCAATGGGGACACCCTCAACGTCACCGATGCCACCGGCTGGGACAGGGACACTGGGACTGAACTGGGACCGACTGGGGACAAACCGGGACAGACTGGGGGTCCCGGGGGTCCCGGGGGGGTCCCGGGGGGTCGCCCCTCCCCCACTCACGCGCCCGCAGCAGCCGCGCCGCCATCGGCTCCGCTCCGCCGCCAGGAGGCGCTGGGCGCTTCCGGCCCCCGCGGCCAATGGCGGCGCGGAGCGGCGCCACGCCCCCCCGGGAGGGGAGGAAGTGACGCAATAACGAGGCGGAAGTGGTTCGGGATTTGTCCTAACGAGGCGGAAGTGACGCGTGGAGAGGCGGAAGTGGGGGGTGAGCCCAAATTTGTGTCGGAAGTTCCGGAATTTCACCCAAACTGGCGCCGAACCCCCAAATCCTCCCGGGTTCCCCCCAAAAAACACAAATATTCCCAAAAATCCCAAATCCTCCAAAATCTTCCCCAAAAATTCCAAATCCTCCAAAATCTCTCAAATTCTCCCAAAAAACCCTGAACCCCCCCAAAACAGCCCCAAAAAATTCCAAAACCCCCCAAACCCCCCAAATCCCCCAACTCTCGCAGTTTCGTTTCCCAAACAAATCTTTATTGGGTGGGGGAGGGGATTTGGGGGGGTCCGACCCCCGCTCCTTAAAAATGGGGGGGGAACAGAGGGGGGAGGG